TGAAGGAAGTAGTCAAGGCGAGTAGTCCGGAGCGTGGGAACCGCGACGTAGGAAGTGTTGAAGGAAGTAGTCAAGGCGAGTAGTCCGGAGCGTGGGGAACTGTTTATGACGATTAGATTAAGGTGTCTGCAATTCTGAAATGCTTTGGGAAGGGAGGAAAACAGGTCCGCTAAGTTGGAAGTGGTGAAGGAAGTAGTCAAGGCGAGCCGTGTTTAGTTTGGGAATGGATTTATGTATCTCCAATACTAAGACTGCTTTCAGAGTGATGATTTTTCCCCCGAGCAAAGCTCGGTCCCCAGGTACTTACCTTTAAATACGAATACTCATAAGGTTAGCATGGGGAACTACAGAGCCACTGGGGTGGAGCCCGAAAGAATTTTTGAGATAAGAATATGCCTATATATTAATCGGGAATGTGAGCTATCACCATGCCAAATTTCAGGAAAATCCGTCCAGTGGTTTATGCGTGATTGAACTTCAAACAAACAAACAAACACACAAACTTTCACATTTATAATATTAGTAGGCCTAAGATGAGATGGTGTGTGTTTGTGTGTGTACGTCTGTCTGTTACCTAATAACGCAAAAACCACTGAACCAATTGAAATAAAATTTTTATATGAAAGTAGCTTATATACCTGGTTAACATATAGGCATATTCCTGTTATTATATTTCCCTTGGGCTACGCCCCACGTGCATCCAAAGTTTCAATGTTTACATTTTGGGAAGAATGTAAATAGTAAAAAATATTAACTGAAGTCAACTGTAAATACACTATATAATTTGACAGTTCAAACAGCAGAGGTTAAGAGGTAGAGGTTCTGCTCCAAAGATTTTAATGTTTTTATGATTATGAGAATAGTTTAATTAAAATATTTATGAAAATATACTTATTTTAATGGAAACAGGAAGATCAATTCAAAATGTATAAATCTTTTGGAATAATTTTGATATTGTAGTAGCTTTTTGTTTACAAATTTGAACTGATAAACAAATATGTTTGGATCAGGATCTGCTGGCTGGCTTCAAAGAAACTCGAGCGTATTTTTCTTAATGTTTAATCCTCCTAGGGGGAACCTCACTGGGAGGTTTGTTTTTGTACTTCCCTTCCCAGACTTTCTCCTCAAGACATCCCACGGATATTGCGAAGGATATGCAAGATATCCCATATAAGTTAGTAGTCTAGTCCTATGGTCAACCTGGGATATCCCCGGATATTCGCAGGAATGCGTATAATGTCCCCACCCAGGGGATGTCTCACGGATAAGCTCACATCACATCCTATGAGGTCATCCCAGGGTAGTCCTCAGGACATTCTCATATGGGACTACTATGGGATGTTCCTGGGGCCATTGGGCCTAGACATAAAAACGCAAAATAATAAAGATTTAATATTAAAAGCTTAATTATCAGTTGAGTACATTGATTCAATAGTTAATAAACACAAATTTTGAAAAAAGGAGAAAACCTTTTTGGCCCAGACGCGTCTCGAACCTGGTATCTTCGCCATGAGCCTCGTACCTTACCTATAAGCTATCTGTGATTGATGATTATATAAGAGTTTTCAAGTGGTCAAAGAGTAGCCGCGACAGTTGCAATGGTCGCGATATTTAAAATGTCGATATTTTGACTTCGATATTCTTTTGACATCGATGATTAAAGGCCGATATGACTATCGATACTAATATCGATGTTACTCTGTTACTGGTTCGGTCCGATTCGATGTCCCTTGTCCCTCAGAAATCAGAAATCAGAAACTTTTTATTGCCCTTGTCCCGCCTCCCGAACTCCCGAGTCCCGCTCGGATAGCGCTGGGTTCACAACTATATGGTAGGCATACGGTTAAGTATCGATCGTCGTAGTATGAAACACGTATGAAAACAACTACTATCGAATATCGTAAATCGATTGGCTTCCATAGCGCCAACCAACCAACCAAAACGTAAACAAACCAGTTTAGCTGCTAACTCATGTTTTCCAATTTTTATTTTATTAATAAAAATGTCATCGTATTTAATTATTAATTGTTTAATGCAAAACAGATTGTAAATAAACTTTGTCAAAAAAAAACCAAACCAACCAACACCGACAGACAGAAGAGAGAAGACAAGAGATTACAAAAACTACTAGCACTAGCCTAAAAGGAGAGGAGAATATTTGATTTAATTTATTCCAACATTGTTCCTTTTGATCAGTTTCATGGTGCATAGTGCATTATTATGGAGGAAATATGCAAAGGTCATCTAAACGTTTTTAAAAGTAAGGGGGTGGTAATTTATCTGGCGTTAATTGCGCAAGTTACTGGAATATTAATTTTAAAATTCCTCCGTAATTTAAGTTCTTATATATTCATCATGCTGGTTATCAGCCTTACTGTAATTGGATAATAAACATTTTCATTGGCAAATTGTATGCCAGGTTCAGATATTATGTTGTACTTATTTATTTGCATTCACTCTCACTGTAATATCTGCAGACTTTTGCTAAACATCTCTCGTCTGTCTTTAGACCACCATCAGGGTCTCCCTCATATGAAGACTCAAATACAACTCTCTCATCTCTTACTGGGTTTTCTGTATCATGTGAAGAAGTTGAAGCTGTCTTGTCCTCTCTGAATGCTAATAAAGGAGCAGGACCCGATGAGATTTCTCCATCGCTACTCAAGTACTGTAGCTCTATTCTTGCACCGCACATAACAATCTTCTTTAATTCATTTCTTTCATCTGGTGTTTTTCCTAACTGCCTGAAGACAAGCTTCGTTGTACCAATTTTAAAGAGTGGCAATCCCTCGGATATCAAGAACTACAGGCCTATAGCGATTCAGCCAACGCTTGCAAAAGTGTTTGAGTCTCTGGTTCTTACTCGGCTGTCTTTCTTTGCCAGAAGTTTTCTGTCTACAGCTCAACATGGATTCTATAGTGGCAGATCATCAACGACCAACTTAATAACATACCATGACGACATTATCTCAGCTTTCAACAGAAACCACCAGGTGGATAGTGTGTACATAGATTTCTCGAAGGCGTTCGATAGAATCAGCCATGATCACCTTATGGCAAAGCTTGGTATTTTGGGAGTGGCTGGACCTATGCTGAAGTGGTTTCGGAGCTATATTAGTGGACGCTGCCTTATTGTGAGATATAATGGGTCTGAATCTGAAGCCTTTCCTGTGTTATCTGGAGTGCCACAGGGCTCTCTTTTGGGTCCTGTACTGTTTTCAATCTTCATTAACGACCTAGCCCAGGCTGTCAAGCATTCAAGAATGTTACTGTTTGCAGACGATGCTAAAATCTATAAGGAAGTAACAACGGACTTTGAATGTGAGGAGCTGCAGGGTGACTTGGACAATGTGCTGCGGTGGTGCTCGGAGAATGAGATGGAGTTGAACATATCTAAGTGCGTTGTACTCTCTTTCTCTCGGCGCACGAATGTAATGGTGTTCAACTATACCTTATTTGGTTCGACTCTCCACCGATCCTCTATAGTGAAAGATCTCGGAGTAACTGTTTCCTCGAATCTAAGTCCAGAACCTCACTTGAGAAACATAAGTAAGAAGGCTTATTCTGCTCTGGGATTTGTTGTCAGAATGTCTCGAGATGGGTTTTCACCTCATGCCCTAAGGACTTTGTATGTGCAGCTGGTCCGCCCTTTGTTGGAGTACTGCTCGCCAGTTTGGTCACCATACCTGATATGCCATGTTGATCTTCTCGAGGGTGTACAGAGAAAATTTCTCCGAGTACTTGGAGTGAGTCTGGGCTTTCGCTACCTTGAAGTACCACTGGATGAGATGAAACGTCGGTTTGGACTTCTTCCTCTGAGTTCGAGACGCAAAATCTTTGATCTGCTGCTCTTAAAGAAGATCATCACAGCCTCGGTCGATTCACCAGATTTGCTGAGCAGGGTTGATTTTCGTTGTGCTCGGGTGGTTCGATCCAGAGGTCTCTTTGAGAGAGCTCATTGTTCGACACAGTATTCTTACCACAGTGCTCTGCCTCGCCTTCATCGTCTGGGAAACAGCCTGCCCAGTTACATCGACCTGATTCAGTTCTCCGAGAATCGCCTTAGGAAAGAGCTAACCAACTTCTACTCGTCAGAGGAGCATGTGCATGTTTGATTTTTTTCTTTTTAATTAGCTTTTTGTTAGGAGTGTGGCGATGACTTAGTGTTGGGGCCGTCGACTCCCCTCACTTCCGAGCCAGTGAGTGCATGTTTCTGTGCAAGAGTGTGTGGTAGTGTTGGGGCCGTCGACTCCCCTCACTTCTGTGCATTTCATATTTATTAATATTTATGGTCTATCTTGTTGTTACCTTTATTGTTAAGTTTTTTATTTTTGTTCAGAGTTTACCATACCGTTTGCACATTGTTATCTTCTGTAAATTTGCTGTTTTTGCCTCCACACTATGTATTTATTTTGTAGTTATTCATAGTTGTTCATATTTTTTGGTTTGCTTATTGTTAGTCTCTACTTCGTTAATATTTATTGTATTATTGTTCCTGCATGTTAACTAGTCTTTATTGCCACTTGCTGTGATATTTATCATATATTTATTTCTCAACTCTGTTTTGTTAATTAAGTGTAGGTAGTAGCTTTGACTATTATTACGTCATTTTTTTTGGCCATCTCTATATATAAGCAATGTAAAATGTAAAATGGTGTTTACCGTATACAAATAAATAAATAAATAAATAAATAAATAAATATTGTGAATAAAATTATGGCCTTCCGTCGTCAAGGGCACATTATGACGTTTGACGACAGACATAGGAGCTATAGGAGCAGCTGCAGCAGAAGGCACCAAGGCAATAGTTTACTATTCCACCATGAGTATGAGACAGCCGGGTGCGGTGAGCCAGAGCCGATGCCGATACTAGAAGTCGATGTCTGTCATCCGGTAGAAAACAAGCTCGATATTTAACCGAATGCCTACCATATCGTTGTTGTGAACCCAGCGCTATCCCGTCCCGACCCGACCCGACACTCAGACTCAATCAGCCTCAGCAGAATCAGCTATCTAGTATCTATGGCTTCGGCTCGGCTTCGCTGGCTAAAGAGGTTTTCATTGAGCCCAGTCTTTGTTCTTTAGTAATGAAATAATACTAACTAGTATAATTAAATAATACTGCGGTCATTGACTCTTCACTCACTATCCTAGTAGTAATAAATAAATAGTAAAGTAAAGTAACCAAACCATGGCTGGCAACTATTTGATTGCTGGAGTTGTGGGAATTGTTTTTGCTGTTGGGGTTGCTCTTTATGAAGCATTTAAGGAGAGGGAGAGCCGCAAAGAAAGACAATATGATTATTATGGACAAAATCGAAAAGAGCATCTGCATCGTGATCCAAGGTAATTAACTATCTCTAAGCTTAACTTAGGGTACCTAAGTTATCTCTTCTGTTTTTTTTTTTGTATGCCAGGCCTAGGCTACATGACGTTTAGGCCAAGCTTAAATCCCAGTTCCATTGATGTAGTATGCAACTTAGCTAATTTCAATATCAATATCCTAACTTTAAAGTTAAGTTAGATCCTAGGCTAGAGGTGTACCCATTTCAGGTACAGTATACTCCCCTCTTATCCGGACCTTTTAACCGGACATCGGTTTAACCAGACTACACTCGGCAGAAATGACATCTCTTTAACTGGACTATTTTATCAGCACATCGGTTTAACCGGAGCAGATCTGCAGGAAGTGGGTGGTACTGAAACAACTGTTCTCGTGGGAAACATTGAGACCAATGATCACGTCGTGTGTCTCAATACAATGCTCTCCTAAATTTAAGTCATATACTGCATACAGTATGCATTTAAACTGGTTATCCGGACTGGCCCCGGTCCTTAGGAGTACGGATAAGAGGGAGTCTACTGTAGGTAGCCTAGGCCTAGTATGTAGACCAGGCAAATTGTCCCAAAAAATCGTCTAAAGCTGGCAAGTCTTTTAATATCTTTTGGAGGTCCCAAATAATATGAAAATGGAGAGCTCTCTCCAGTGACCTGAACGCAGCCTAGGGGTTCCACAGGGATCTGTTCTTGGACCTGTGCTCTTCCTAATTTTTATTAATGACCTGGGGACTGAGGGAAGAACTTAATGTTCTTTGCCGATGACACTAACCTCATCACAAAGTAGTACCGACCAACTGCAAATTGGAACACTCAAAATCCTTGACGAAGCTAAAGCCTGTTTCCTTAATGGTAACTTAAGCTAAAAATAAATAATGACAAAACCCAGGAACTGACATGGGCAAAAACTTGAAAACAGGACAATTGCTGTCCCCAGCATTTGAAAAAAATTATACTTACCTACATTAATAAATCTTATATTTTTTGAAAGTTTGGTCTTTGTAGTTCATAAATATAATGTTTTTAAGTCTGAAATTAATTTATATAATTAATTATTACTAGAAGAGAAATTTGGGGACAGGTTTTTGTGTAATGTGGGTCACACACAAAATCCTAAGTTTTGACACAGTTAGCTTGAAAGAATTATGGTAGGCTAATTATGATTCCATTAGCTTTTTAGGTTACCAAATAACAGTCAAGTGTGAAAAATATAATAGTTTATGAATATATTTGATGTTAAAAGCTCAAATAAAACTGTAATAAATTTGTGGACATGATTTCAGGATCTCTCTTTTTCCTTTATCCAACACACAATAGCCTACTTATTATAGGTTGTTTTTTGGTTTTTTTCAAATAATGTACTTATAAGTACAATTTCCAATTATAAAACGACCATTTGAATTAGTGGTTTTTATTATATGGCAACAAAAACTTTGTGACCCACCATTACAAGAGTGACCCAAATTACAGCTAATGTAGGTCACGTGACTGACATTACATGTAATGCAGGTAACAAATTTTCAGCTGGATCCATTAACTAACATCACAACAGAGGTGTCAGCAATTTGTTAATTACAGTAATGCATAATATTAGTAACGCTGTGTCACCTTTTGATTTTATCGTCTGCTAATGATAGGTCACATCAGACTGAGCGAGGTTCGTAATTTTCTCGCTAATCTCGCAGCCAAACTCTGGCCGCCCAGATTGTCATATAGTCTCCACAATCGGAATATTTATCGTAAAGAAAATAAATATAAGCAATCACCAATCATATCGTGGGTTACTGGAAAAAAAAAATTCTCGACATTGAAAACTCATAAGAGAAGTAATTTGGGTCACAAAATGTACGAAAAGTAATGCTGGTCACACCTCAGATCCTCAGATTTTGTGACTGACATTAGCGTGACCGATATTAGCATTTTTACTCTCGTCATTGACTAAAACGAAACATGGTGGCATAGTTCCCTTCGCAAGCTATTATGTTTGATTTAATATTTGTTTTACTTATATTTTCTTAGTTTTCAATAACTTATTCACCTTATTGTCACAGTTATCAAGGGTACCGAGCATTACGCAAAAACTTAACGCTAACAAAACAGGTTTTAAAAAACGACTTACCGGTTAACCTGCAAAGCCTGGAGTCACATCGCGTCTGACCTACCACACCCACATCTAACAAGGAACTGAGAGAGGGCGAAGTCTTGTTCCACCCGAAGTCGAGAAGGTTCAATGACCCGACGAGAACCGGTCCCAACCCTCGAACCCAGCATTACGTTCCCGGCTGGGGACGCGACTTTTAACGCCCGCTATTGCCGTTATATTTAATTAAAAAGTCCGTTTGATGTATTTTTATAATCTTTTAACATTATTCATCAATTTAAAACCAAATATTACAACAATATCGTCTTAATACTACTGAAGAGGTAGGGTTATTGTATCCAACTTCTAATCTTGGGGACAGGGTTTTTGCATTAAATGTAGACAACATGAACTTTTTAAACACACTTTTCTTTATTAAATACAACAAAAACAAATACAAATTACACATTTTTATATAAAGTAAAGTATGATAAATTATTTAAAACCATTAGAAGTAAGAAATACATGACAGAAGAGAGATAATTAGCTGGGGACAGCAATTGTCCTGTTTTCAAGTTTTTGCCCACATGCAGTCTAAAACATCAGAATCTACAACAACAACCTGTGAAACTACTCGGTTTTTGGCTGGATGGCAATTAAGTTGACTTGGGAAACACATGGTAGGTGAGTTAGATGCCAGACTTTCCAGAACGGGTTTCCTTCTAGGCCTAAGGAATCTATAAAACTTGGTCACTGATTCCAACTTAAAATTAGCCTAAGTTATTACTGTAGGCCTATGGCCTCTTCCACAGTCTAATGAGCTACGGTGTCATTATCTGGGGGCTCGCTTCGGAGACAAGAAGCATTCTAAAAACTCAAAAGGATATGCTATAAGAGCCATATCGTCCAGCGCAAGGCATGAACACTGTAGGTCAATGTTCCGTGACTTAGGAGTGATGACCGTTACAGGCAATTAATAGGCCTATACAACTGTCTGGTACATTTTAAGGAAAACAGGCAACCTCAGCTCAGGCCCGTTTTTGACACTGTCAGCGCCCTAGACACAACTAATAGTAGCGCCCCTTTGCAATATATATAGGGCCTACAGGGTGTCCACTGACGGGGAAAACCGGGAATCCGAGAATTATGCTTGAGTTTTTTAACCGGGAATTATGCGTGAATTTTGTATATCCACCTGGAGTTTTCAATTTACTGCCATCGCGAATGACAACAGTGTTGTTTCCGTGACCGCGGGAGTCGACACTAAACACACGGCCGCGAGGGATTATCAGCATTTTCTGCAATGGCAGAAGACGATGATGATATCTACAGAGCTGCGAGGAATGATCAGAGTATTGCCACGATCACAGAAGACGATGATAATGTTCACATGAATGCAGGAAACAGCAAGAATTTTTCCGCGATTGCGGAAGACGATGATGATCGCCACACGACTGCGGGAATGATAAACATTTTGCCGGAACCACGGGAAACAATAATTACGATGTCTTCACAGCCGTGGGAGACGATTACGATAACTACAGGACCGCTGGAGATACAATAATGAATTCTGTGTAAGGAGTTTGAGCTTGTCAAAAAAGCCTCTGAAAAATCTTTATCATGTGTGCTAATATAGGTACTTTTTATGTAAGCCTACCACTGCAGGCCAAAATATCTTATTTTGTTAGTCCTCGAAAATTACCAAGCTATAAGATACAACGAGTTGTTAAGCCAAGTTCACATTAAAAGCATTTCCAGCGTGCACCTTAATCTAGAGAATATACATTTATCTATCTACTAAATTGTTACTCCTTCGTTGTTCTCAAAGGTTCTGACATATTTTGGTTAGTTCTTTAAAAAATAAGTTATAGACAATAATAAATAGCTATGCTAACTTCACACTTCCGGTTTCCAGCTCGCTCCTTCGTCTGATGAAAAATTCCTTTTTTCTGAGGTACAAGCATTACCCCGGACAATCTTGGTTTTACTGTAGCTTCTTCCCTATTAGAGAAATTCACTAAAAACAGCTTACCTATTTTACAATCAACCCTAAAAATATTTTTATTTTTATGAATGTGATTCAGCAGCAAAAATATTTAAGTTAATATTCTTGTAATTTATTACACATGGGAGCGAATGGAAGTAGCTCACTGTTACCAAATAATATGGTAGTGCTTATTACATTTTTGTAAATTAAATGTTTATTTTCCTACCGTCACCCGACAAAGTTGGCTTCCTTGTACTGTTTATAGCACAGAAAGCTGCTAATTGCTGCACATTTATACTTTGCCGTACGGTTTATACTTTGTCGTACGGTTTATACTTTGCCGCACATCAGGATTCCAACGAAACAACACAAAACAGTGTGATTCTATTATGCACGTAATCCGTGTTCGCTTGGAAATAGGTTGGCAACACTTAAAGATAATAATACTATGAGCAGCTGATTGACTATTATAACTACGATTTAACCTGTCATTTCGTGTTTATAGTTTCGGTATTTCTGAACTTTCTGGACTTTTCTTTTAAAAGTTTTTAAAACATTCCTACGATCTTAATAAACAAGAAAATACCTTTAAAGCATTTTTTTTAGGCGTGGAGACCACTTCAAATTACAAAAACATACGGAACTATATTCTCAAAACGCGGAGCACATTTCTTGCCGAGGAAAAATAGCGGAGTGATACGGACCACGGGTACTACTTTCTCTAGGGCACCATTTGTGTTGCCATCTGAACCTAAAAACGTGTTGTATAGTGTTTGAAAGACTAATTATTTATATGCTTTATAGTGACTGTAGGAAAAACACGAGTGTTACACGAGACTGTAACACGAGTGAAAAAGGCCTTTGCTGCACTCGAGATCATTCCGTAAACATTGCTCTCGTGTGCAGCAAAGTGCCACTTTCACCACTAGTTACACAAATAACTATTTCATTTTTCAGGTCTCCCCCTGTGCAGAAACAAGCCGTATGCGGCTATTGTAGAGGACCATTGGCTAAAGAAAACATTGACAGACTGAGCTGTGGACATATATTCCACAGTCGCTGTATTGCTGGGGTAAGCCTAACTATGTTGTTACTAATGTTTGTTTTAAAAAATGCTGAGATTGTCACTTGAAATCTTAAAGGGTCTGTTAAAGGAGGCCTTTATGTACCATGTGCCAGTTGGTCCTGAAATACATGGTATTAATTTAAGCCCAAATGTTCAAAGCTTGTATGTTAGGTTTGGTAAACCTAAATTTAAACTGCATAGTACCTACAGTAATATCAAATTAGGCCTAACTCTGTGATGTAATTGCTACAAGACCATGGGTGTTTACGGTACAAGCATGGTGGTTACAGTACAAAGCAATCCTCCCACGGGATTTCCTTTTGATTACCTAGCGTAACACCTTTCCAGGTGAGTTGCGTACAATACTTTTTGCCACACTACCAGGCACAAATATAGAGTGTAAGATAAGCATAACTCATACATAAATTACAATAACCCTTTAATATTTCTACTCATCTTTAGGAAAAGTAATGATTTAAATACTTTCCCGTAGGAGTGAAAGTGCAACATCTCTGCCCAAACATGTCTAATATTAAAACTTAGCTTTGTTTGGAATAAGAGCCCATTGAATAAACTTATGTTTTTATGAAGGAGTAAATTTACCATTTTCCAGCTAATTTTACTGCACTCCAGCTGACTTACGCTTAAACTTCAACTGATTTTACCAAACTTTTTCTGAAATCAACGACTTTCTGGTCTACAAAGAGAACAGAAACCAGCTGCTTCCTGTGTAGTGAGGCAAACGTTTTAAGTTTTAATAAAACAATGCATTTACTTCTCTTTAACCAACATATTGTATATTTCAATCTTTAAATTTAAATAATAGTATATTTCACTACTAGTCACGAAAGTGACCCATTTCGGGGAAACACTATTAAGCCCCGAAATTAAACTTTTGTGATGAGTATTGAACGATTCTTTTTATCATGATAAAAAAAACTACTTCTTAAAAATATCTTAAAAACTTAAAAGTAACTTTAATAATCCATTCGTTTTTCTAATCTAAACACGATTGGCTGTACAATTAATTTTGGTGTAAAATTCTGCTGATTGTAACTTTGTTAATGTCAGACAAAGTATTGTTTGTGTAGCGAAAGTAATGTTTATGTAGTGAAAGGAATGTTTATGTAGTAAAAGGAATGTTTATGTAGCAAAAGTAATGTTTAGGTCAGGAAAAGTCAGCTGAGATCACTATTTGTTTTCTGTGTATGGAAATTGAAGATTTTCGAAGATCCCAGCTGTATGGAAATGGGCTATTTTCAAATACAGGGTGATGAAAAAACATTTAATAATTGAGCGGAGCGAGCGAAGCTCTTATACGTCGACTCTTATGCATTTCGTAATACGCAAACTCCTCCTAGATGGCTGAATCAATCGTTTTCAAATTTTGCATGGTGATAAAGACCATACCGGTGAATATAATCATAAATATAATCAAATGACGACACTAGCTTGAGGTCCATGACGTAGAAAATGGTGAAGTAGTAAAGGTGAACAGTACTTCAATTCTAAAATGCTATGAAAAGGTATGGAAACAGGTCCGTGACGTAGGAAGTGGTGAAGTAAGTAGTAAAGGCGAGCTGTTCGGGGTGTGGGATCTGTTTATGACCAATAGATTAAGGTATTTGCAATCCAATAATGCTAAGGGATGGGATAGAAACAGGTCCGTGACGTAGGAAATGGTGAAGGATGTAGTAAAGGCGATCAGTCCGGAGTGTAAGAACTTTTTATGACGATAGATTAAGGTATCTGCAATTCTAAAATGCTATGGAAAGGGAGGGAAACAGGTCCGTGACGTAGGAAGTGGTGAAAGAAGTAGTCAAGGCGAGCTGTCCGGTGTGTGGGAACTGTGTATGACGATTAGATTAACGTATCTACAATCTTAAAATTCTATGGGAAGAGATGGAAACAGTAAGGAAGTAGTAAGGTGAGCAGTGTGGAGTGTGGGCACTGGAAACCGTTTGTAGCAGTTAGATTAATTTATCTGCAATTTGCTGAAATGCTATGAGAAGGGATGGAAGCATGCCCACGACATAGAAAATGGTGAAAGAAGTAGTAAAGGCTAGCAGTGCGGTGTGTGGGAATGTTCATGGCAATTAGATTAACGTATCTGAAGTACTAAAATGCTATGGAAAGTGATGAAATCCACTTTCCACGACGTAGGAAGTGGCTTAGGAAGTATAACAGCATGAGCATAGTGTGAGAACCATCTGTGGCAGTTAGATTAATGTATCTTCAATCCTAAAATGCTATGAGAAGGGAAGGAAACAGGACTATGACGTAGGAAATGGTGAAGGAAGTAGTACGGCTAGCAGTGTGGGAACTGTCTTTAGCAAATAGATTAACGTATCTGCAATCCTAAAAAGCTATGGGAAGAGAGGGAAACAGGTCCACGAAGTAGGGGCTGGTGAAGGAAGTAAGTAAAGGTGAGCAGTGTTGAGTGTGGGAATGGATTAATGTATCTGCAATGCTAAAAAGCTATGGGAAGAGACTGTAGACTCTAGGTTAAAATGATTACGAAGCACGAATCGATACATATTTTCGATACATTCAATAATTTACAATCGAAATTTCCAACTGAGTTGACAACGGCTGATGTTTACTCCATAGAGGCTAAAAACGGTTTTTACTCCCTAAAGAGTAAGAATGCTACTTTAGACCCGCAACGCATGCATTAAAACGACTGTTTTTACTGCAGTATGACAAAAACAATATAATATGAACCCTTGATGACTCCGCTCAATTTTTTGGATGCCTCTGCGAACGCCACCTAGTTACTTAAAATATATTTACCAAAACTCTACGTGTATTTGTTTACATTATTGGTAATGCATAGCTGTACAGTAAAATCTTAAATCTTTTTAAATAATCACTTACAGTTGTTTTTTAAAGATGTGCAATTGTTGAAAAGAATGTTAAATATTGCATTTTATTTTCAGATAAATATTTGCCCATACACTTTATGCCAAAAAAAGATTGAAACACCTCGGTAAGTTTATAATTTATGTTAAAAACTTAACATACTATATGTTATATGTACGAAAACTTTGTGTAATATAAGATCTCCAAATGAGGTCAAGTGAGCAAATTAAAGTCTGAAACCATCCTTTTTTTTTTGCTGATTTTACTTCTATTCAAGCCGGTTTCCACTCCTATGTGACAAATAGTATTGTCATTGTCATAGTATAAAAACAATTTTATAGAAAATCAATGCTTCTAACATAAATCAGGTTCTGTTCTGTGGATCAAAAGTCGTCGGAAGAAAGCCAACTTCTATTGAATCTGATGCCAGTTGACAAATATGTTATCACATTAGTGTTATAACGTTTAGACGCAGAAAGTTTGCAGGGACAGAAAATTGTACACATCAAGACCAAGAGCAAGTGTGTTTTACATCAAGATAGTGACTAAATTTGAGGATACTTAGCTGATGTCTTTAAGACCACTAGGGCTTACCATTGTTGGTGTTGCAAAATGGTCTCTTACCGCAGACACCATTAAAAACATCTTTCAGATGTCTACAATCAACTACAAACTTTCTACACCCTTTGCACAAAATTTTTACTACCAATTAATTACCCATTTGTCAACTGGCAATGGACAATGGTCGTTAACGCCTTAGAATACAGAAATTTAATCACAAAGCAATTCTTATTTGGCAGGAGCATTGATTTTCCTTCGCATGGTTTCCTGCTACCATGACGAAATCATTCATTGTATAGGGATAAAAAATGTTGAGAATAGCCATAGAATAGTTCAATTAATTTATTCAGGGTGGAGCAAGGTAAATGGTTTTTTTTTCATTTTTGCGGCGATGTTAGGCGGACAGGAGGAAAAATGAGTTAAGTTGTAACAACTCAGTATATTTTCACTGATGTTTGTCCATAAAATAATTCAATTTTCACCATATGTTTTTCTTTTAATCTGTATGTCAATATAATAATTCATTCTCCCTTTTCCAAACCATGTGTAATAATTGTCCATGTCCAAGCAGACAAATAAATAAATAAATAATTCTTTATTGTCACATCAACGTTTTGAATCATAGCCCAGCTAAAAAACATATGACATTGTCAAGATTATTACCAACTTTACTTAATGTACAACAATGTGTCTTATATTAAACAATGTTTTTAACAAGTTGGCAAAATTTGTTGAACGATAACAGAAAAAAAAAGTTTTTATGTCATACAAAATAAAGTCATATTGATTGGTTAGTTTCAATGAAGTAATCATTAACACTGTAATATGTTTTACTTATCAGAAAATCAGCAAGTCTGATTTAAAAGATTTATTATTAATTAAAATTTTTAGAGTTGAGGAGTTTGTTAAAAAGTTTTTCCCCATGTATTTAGGTGTTTTTTCTACAAGCTTCAGTCGGTGTCTCGGATATTGGAAATTATTTTTAAATCTAGTGTTATAGATGTGGTCAAAGCTTTCGCTAATGTAGTTATAAAAATTTAAATGCACCGCTAACAATGTTTTGTAAATAATAAAATTTGGAATAGTCATAATATTCAATTCTTTAAATCTTTTGCATGAAGATTTCCATGGTAAAAAAGTCATAATTCTTATAAACTTTTTTGAATTTTAAAAACTTTTTCAATTTCAGAGGCGAACCCCCAAAATTCAATTCCATGCTGTACTATTGAATAAAACTGTAATGAGATAGTACGGTATTTAATTATGTAGAATATTAATATATATACCGATCCGGTCGTGGCCTCGTGGTCCAGTTTCCATTTTATTATAGTTAATATTTGAATTCATGTTAGCTACTTGTAGATACATTTATGAAATCAGATTAGTCCATTTATATAGATAAATCTCTGTTCACTATTTATTAATCAGATGTATTAAAAAAACATAAAAGCTGGCTGTGATATGTAGCTTAGGTATTATTTTGCACTTTGACCAGGTTTTTAGGTTCACTTGAATATGGTTCGAGCAGCGACAGGAAATGTGCGTGAGTTAGCGGTGGTTGGTGGAAGATATATTGGGCCCAGGTATCTTAACACTCATCCAACCACATTTTGCCACGGATGAATAAGAGGAGAAAGCGAAAATAAGTCTGTTCCTTATGTGACTGGATGCTGTCACAATTTTGTAATTACAAACCTCATCTTATTTCAGATCTACCGCAAGTTCGCCTCTTCCTGAAGTAAAGTGTGATTCTTGTAATACTCAGGTTGGTTCAAACGAACTGGCTAAGCTCAACTGTGATCATGAAGTTCACAAAGACTGCCTGAAGGTAATTGGACATATTATTCTTGAGGTTTTATAATGTGTTTGGGGGGATAGGTTTAAGTGGTAATTAACAATTACATTAGTTAATGAATTAAATGCTTAGTGAGTCACATTTCATTGCATGAACATTTTTGTTCAATCAAAACATTTAAGGAGAAAATATATAAAACTGAAAATATATAAATGTAAACAGATTAACGCATATACACCCAGCGACAATTTGAGGAAGACTCATAACTCCTGTGGGAGGTTGAAACTCTCTTCTGACATTTGTCAAACTTCAAACACCCTGTAATTATGTCAACCACTACATAGTGACATTGCCTTCCCAGTCTTAAATTTAGGTTTCTAAGAATGCGAGAATTTCAACTTTAGCTGTAATAAAGTTTCACATTTATTTTCTAATTTTCAACTCTTACTGTAATCTTTGACGGTGTGATACAACTAGACTTTCCATCACCATGTTGAAGTTTTCATCAGGTTTTTAATAAAAATTGTCGTAGTTTATTGTGTATTTACTAACTGAACTGATATAAACTACTAATTTCTGTCGATTACACAAACCTTATTACCAAGTCAAACCAATGGACTTATTGTTAGCTAGAGCAACTGCTATGACCCATCAACTCGGTCAGCAATAAAAAATAAGATAGGAAATAGGATTTTAGACACTAGCACATTCTATGTTGGCTCTTTTTTACTTTTTTAATAAAACATTGGCATAAGCTGGTCCATATGTATAGGAGGTCTACTTAAGTATCCATTAGTTAACAGTATCATTTAACCATTCACTTCAGATCATTTATCACTTAAATTGATTATCAGTAACAAAGTCTTTCTCTTTCAGATGGGTTTCTGTCCAATGCCACGCTGTACGTATCTTAGGTCTATGAAAGAACACCGCTGGTGAGGAATAGAAAGTTGATATTAAGCACAAAACTGATATTATGGAATTTTGGCAAAGACCTTCTCTGAAGAAAACTGACTCCTAAGCTACACTGCCTTAAAACTGCTCTCTATGAATTATTTGGTTCTACTATGCAGTAGCACGTGCTGATGAACTAAAATATTTTGTAAGTTTTATGTTTGGGTTTCTGTTATTACATTGGGTCCAAGCAAATGGGGATATAAAATATTGACATTAACTGTTCAAACCTATTTTGACATCTATACTGTAAGGTTTGAGTGCATGTTTATGGTTTTCTCTTAACTAACCCTCATTTGTGAAGCTGCATCTATGTTTTTCGCTCTCTATAAATACCTACATATAAACATCTATATCTAATTTTTTTTTTTTTTTGTGTCAAGCAAAAAGTTAACTTATTTCTGTATTTATTTTACTATAACTTACTCGCCTTAGGGAATTTGTAGAACAAAATCAAAGCTTTCATAATTCCTAAATATTAGTGTAAAATTTATAAACAATAATGTACAATCAATTTGCGTAGAGTATTAACAGTTTTTTGTGACACAATGTTTCAAACACTCATCCTTCACTCATATTTGGGTCAAGTTCTAGTGGCGTCCCCATCTTAAATAATTTACATCATTGATAATGAGCTTATATCATTTTGTATAAATAAATGTATTCTCATGGTATTATTGTAACTTGTAGTTTATAGTTTAGAAGTATTTTTTAGTAAATATTAATAACTGGTAGTCGGGTTATAACTTAACTAAGTATGTTTTTGATATTTTGATTTTACTAACACTCTAAAAATAAATTACCATGTACTCAGAATAACTGGCAATTTTGGCCCTTGTTTTTAAATAAAATAATTTTAGTGTGTCAGTGTTTTTTTTTTTTTTACCATTGGTCCTCTACTGCCTAGATTAATTTCTTAAACTAAAATTGACTATGTTGGTTCATTGTTGGACTAACTCTTAAAAAAAATAATTAGTACCATGTAGTTTTAGATTATGCATAATAAATTGAATCAGGATTAGCCTACCCCAAGGCTTTGTTCTTGGTAGGCCTCATGTTCCTTATGCTGGTCATGTTGTACCTTTCCAGAAAAAGGTATTACAGTTGCTTTAATTGCAGATAATACAGCCAATAATAATATAATCTAGAACTAGTTTTTACATGATTGTTATTAAAAATTGTATCGTTAGATACAATATTAGAAAATACCCCTGTCGCAGCAAACCTGCAGACTAAGCAAATTTCCATTTACCCAGCTTGATTTCTACTACAATATTCCCTAAAAACTGTCAGATTTATTTCCTATTTATAGTAACATTAATTTTAGTGAGTAGTTAGGTTTGCTGCTACGGGGAAGATATTGAGATGTGTTTATGGCGAATTTCCCATATAGGGAATAAGCTATTACCGTAGGTCTCATGGTAAGACTTGGACCCGGGACCGATTTACTTTTTCATTTTGATGTCCCTAGAAGCCAAAAACACTATCCGTTCAAAGTCATATATATATTTATATAGAACATGGGAATTTAAAATTTAAAATTTTTTTAATATTATCCGTAATCAATGAACATACAAAAACACTTCATCATACTAAATTATTTGTTTTTTTTCAGCTCTTTCAAATGGTCTAACGAGAAATTTTGAAATTTTTAGTTTTTAGGATCAAAAATAGGAAAAATCAATTTTTACCCCTTAAAACCCACGTTCCCATAGTCCGATTATGCTGGTTCGTGAACTTGTTTGAATAAACGTAGGTTTACAAGTTTGTACCAAATTTCATAAAAATCAGATCATTTTTGCTTGAGTTATCGCGCTAACGGACATATATATATGAATATGAACGGATGGTGTTTTTGGCCTCTGGGGACCTCAAAATGAAAAAGTAAATCGGTCCCGGGTCTAGGTCTTACCATGAGACCTACGGTAACAGCTTATTCCCTATATGGGAAATTCGCTAATTAAAGTTATCGTGGCCAAACTATATAATTTCAAGTTAAATTTACTATGTCTACCAAAACTTGCTCCGAGGCTGCGGCCACACAGGCGTTTTTTTCACGCACACACTCAGTGTAAAAACACGCAAAGAATTAGAGTAGCATTGAAACAAATAGGCGCCCGCTACTGCGGGAAAACACACCGTGTGTGGCATTCCCCATTACATTTACTGCTGCTCATATTTACAGGCCGCAGCCTGAGAACCAGGGTTATAGAAAAAATCACCTTAGGTTAAGGAAAAATCAGGACATGGCTCAGCAGATATCACTACTTTCAACAAGTTCATCAGTAAGACATCCTTCAGGTGTTTTATACAACCATCCTAAGTCTTTTTCCTACAGTTATCCGACAAAGTGGGCTTCCTTGCATGGATTGTAGTACAGAAAGCCTTACTTTGGTGCACGGTTTTTACTTCGGCGCACAGTTTTTACTTTGGCGCACAGTTTTTACTTTGGCGCACACCAGTATTCCAACCAAACAACACAAAATAGCATATAATAAGTTGAAAATAAGTTGGCAACACTTAAAGATATTACAACTACGATCAGCTGGTGCAATGTTTGGATTTAGTCTAACCTAAAAACATGTTGTACAGTGTTTGAAAGACTATGGTTTATATGCTTTATAGTAACTGTAGGAAAAATATGTGTAACACGAGTGCAAACTGCATTTGCTGCACTCGAGAAACTTTCCACACTCGCCTAAGGCTTGGGTGTAAAAAATTCTCTTGTGTGCAGCAATGTGCCACTTTGCCCACTAGTTGCACAAATAACTATTGTTTGGTTTTTTTAAAGCCACTGGTTATCATCCAGGTTTTGAGAGGTACAGAATAATAGTCTTTTTCACAAAGATCAGGTTATGAAAACGTGACTTGATCTTGATAGTGAAAATTGGAAAGAGGCTAAGTATTTGCTATGGAAAGTTAAATTTAGATTTCAGCCAAGTTTTCACCTTTGTCTTCCAACCTTTCTCAAGAGTTTAGCAGCGGAGCGGACATCTGTTTGAGGTTCCAGCAAACCTATTGAGATCATCACAATCTGCATAGGAAGGCGGTGTGGAATACCCGCCAGGAACTGGGGGGTCCTTGTAACTCTTGCGGAAAATGTTTGAAAATTTCATCTGTAAACTGTTTTTAGGCTATTTAGAGACATACCAAACAGTTATATGTAATTGTAGAAAAGGTTTTTGGTGTAAAAAAAACCTTTTTTAAGGTCAAGATTTGTATGTTCAAACTCCTAAAAACCCCCTGGAAACGCCACTGCTTGGCTATACCCTGGAATGTAGGGTTTTGCAGATCAAGAACACATATTTGATTTATTTTACAGACTTTAGACCACTAGCATTGTCATGTATCATCAATATATACTTAGGCATACCACGACCATGTTAAAAGAGTGCATCTATTATATTACAAACCAGAAATATCGAGAATGAATAGTATTTTAATATTCAGCACACTTTTCTGGATTTTACGAGACAAGCAGAAAAATTGAGATAAATTACATTAATAAGGCAAGGCAATCCCTATTTGATACGGCTTTATTGATCATAACTCAATATTAAAAGATAATTAAAACTACAATGAACAAATAATAATACTAATAATATTATTTTATCACACGATTAATTACATTTTACAGAAAGTTATAAATAGTTTCTACTTTAGCATAAATATATACAAACAACTAAAACTAAATTTTTTATGTACAAACTACCGCAACTGGTATCAAATTGTCCGACTTAAATAAAACTACAGTAATGAAAATGATGGTTAACCACTATAGTTCGGCCGCTTAGAAAACAACCTGCGCGCTAATGCTAAACCAATGCTGGAGGAGGTCGCTTTCTAAGCGTCCGAACTATAGTACAGTTTTATTAAATAGATAGACTATACTTATAAAAATTCCAAGTCTGGTGAAGACCTTGATGCCACTTAAATAAATGGTGATTAAACCTTTTCACCTGATTTGTAATTTATGTGCAAGGCCTAGGCATGTCTTTAATACTTACATTGGATGAGAAATAACAAAGAATTTATGGGTTTTTTTCAACCCAGCTTAATCATCTCACGTCATTTGCTATCATGGGATGAGTATCATTACAGATTATTATGACTTAACATCACCAGCACATTCAGTGTATGATATGAAAATAACATATTATTGCTTGTTTTAAAAAGTCCAATTTGGCAATACTTTTTTTACTAGGTGGATAAAAACATGCATATCATAATAATATTTGTAGCACCTTTTTGTGTCAGTCGAGACTTGCATACTAAAGTTGCAAATTATATTCCTTTTTATTTAAACAATTAATTATGAAAATGAAAACTTAATATTTTATGTGTGTACAGTTCTTACTACAGCTATGGGTACGGAATATATTTTTATTCTTCATAATAGGGTACTTTCCTGTTAAAGGGAACATTCATTATTATCGAAGATTTTTTTCTCGATATATCGATATTAACAAATTGAAACATATCAGCTGACAACTACGATAAATATTGTTCAGTATCAACAAACAATAATGAAATGAAACTGTTATTTAGTTATTTGTGCAACTAGTGAGAAAAGTGAGCAATTGACTCACTCGAGAGAAATCCTTACTCACGAGCCGTAGGCGAGTGAGGAATGGTTTCTCGAGTGAGGCAATTGTACTTTGAACTCGAGTTGCACATTATACTTTTCCTACAGTTACCATAAAACAAATAAATTGGTGAAGAAACATAACCTATTTTTACACAGAAGTGAACTTTTAATATAACATTTAATGTGAAGTGACAAATACAACAGTACAACAGCTGACCAGCTGATTTACAGCCAGTGCTGCCAACGTATTTCGCGCGCATACGACGTTCATGTTACGCGCTCACTATTTCGTGCCTTCACATTGCAAATCTGGAGTGAGACAAAGTAATTAGAGTGAGACAATGTTAACATTGTAACTGTTGTTAGGTAACTGTAGGAAAAAAAATAACCTAACATAACTAACCAAACTTGCTGTGTAACATTCCATGTTTAACTTGCCTTTTCTGTTATCAAAAGGAATTTTTAAGCAAGTTTGGTTGGTTTATGTTAGGTTAGCTTAGAACAGTTTAATTTCTTAATCCATAATAGACATTAGCCTGTCAATATGTAATGCATCGTTAAACAAAAATATCGATATATCGAAAAATCATCGATAATAATGAATGTTCCCTTTAACAGGAAAGTACCCATAATAGTTTTTTTCTAAACAGACCCTATATGACCATTTTTCTATAGTTGTTACAAGTCTATAAAATCATCATAACAAAAAATATTTTTAAAAACACCACAAAACCACTTATATTTATGTTCTTTATTAAAAGAACAATACTCAATGGTTGTTACGTTGATGAAAATAAACAATACATTTGAGGTAGAACGTGAAGTGGAGTTAGGCACAGGGCTTCAAATTCCATTCAGAAGAATAGCTTCCTTGATTGATTAGTTAGGTTTCTAAAGTTCCGTAGCTTCATTTGTGGGTTGAAGTGTCTGTGGTTGAAGCAAATGTCTGGTTGGTGGTACTAATCTTTTCTTTGCAGCCAATACATTGCAGAATGCACTGTGAGTTATGTTTAATCTGTAAATAAGTGTGTTTACATTATTAGTTTTTATTTTACATATTTCTTGTTCATTCCAGAAAAAAAATTATTCTAAAATAACACAAGGTTATAAACAAACTCTATGAATTAGAAAACAGAAACATTAAAAAGCACTGATGACTCATTCATTATGAAGATCTTTATTGTTGCTTTATATTGATAAAAAGCATACGACAGCTTAGACAGAATCAGCTTGTGGAAAAGTTTAAAAAAGCATGGTTTGCCTGATAAAT